ACTCAATGCTATCATCTGTTCAGACGCAGCATTTTTTTGTGGTCATCCTGAATACTGAGCTCTTAATGGAACTCTATTCAATGGTGATTGTAAAACCCTGAAGCCCCGTTACTCTTATGGAGCATACTTTCATCTCGTTCTCAGGTATTGGCCAATATGTATCTCATAAGATTTTATCACATTTCACAGATGAACTGTTAATTGATTCCATGACTATGATTAGACGAGATCCAAGCTGGAGCTGCAGCTCTGAGTCCCATAAATTCTTTGTGCTTCTGTAAATAATAAATCTGTTTTAAATGCAAATTAAAACTACTGGTCAGGGAATTTTGGTTCTCAGTTATTAAAAGACTCGAAGTGTATAAGTGGAGAAAGGCAATAACTGCAGTAATTTCTTAAGGGACCCTCTTATAATTCCAAACATATATATTCTGGAGCAAAACCAGTAATGGAAGAGAGCAGCGATGTCCACTTTCATCCAGACAAACACCCAATTCTGTGGCAGGCAAAATACTGATAACGCCAAATGTACACTCTAAGGGATATACTTTTATTTTATTCAAAATGAATACTACATGGATTGCAGCATTGAAATACGTAAGCAGAGAGTAATGTGGTCTGTAGGAACAGGTCATGGATTTCTTACAGAGTCCCATGGCTTTAGAATTGGAATGCACTTACGTGTTGACACATCCAATGTTCTCATTTTACAGATGAGAAAACAGAGACTTGGAAAGACTGAATGTTCCTGTTCACTGGAACAGTGTGGCCTACAACTCGGGTTCCCTGATTCTCAGTGAAATGCTTTTTCGCTCTACCCATCTACTGCTCTTGCTTGCTGACACAGGCATTCAAGAAATAAAACAGTTATTCTTTTTTTCTGCATCTACTTTAGACACAGTTGCCCCCTGAATCATACACAACATGTGTCACCCCCAACAGAGGACATCGGTATTGTTTTTTCCCTTATGCTCACCTTCTATATTGAAACATATTTATTTATGCATTAACAGAGATGAGAAAGTCTTTGCCTTTTAGTCTTCAGAGGAACAAATAATCCTCCTACTTTCTAGCAAGACATAGTGAAGAGCACAGAAGCGCTAGTTATTGTGCTTCTTGGATCACCCCAGATCACCCTGACACCTCTGGCCTTATTTGGAGCCTAGACTGTGAGACCAAGATGTCGCACATACCGGTGCAGTTTCAGAGAATGACAGCATTGTTTGGCGGGTTATCACAGAGCTTGAGAAAAGCATGTCATCATCCTGCAGACCGCTAACCATGTACTCTTACCACCTCTCCCTCTGGGGAGTTGTGAGGTCCTGCTTGCTAACCCTAAAGAGGGTGAAAACTAAAGGAAAGACAGAAATGCAGCATTTTTTTCCCATATGTGTTTTGGAAACTAAGAAAGCAAGGAAACCTGTTCAGAAAAAGCAAAGTAAACAGAATCCCAGAGGATGGCCTTGCTTTGAACACTCTGCAACTGTGACAGAGAAGAAGTTGCTCTGAGAATGTGCCTTACTTGATTTCAGTGTTTTTCCTTTTTTCAAAAAAAAAAAAAAAAGGCAAAAAGCTGGACTATGAACCTACAACTATCTGATGAAGTCTAGAATACTGTCCTCCCCAAAGTTCTCTTCCTTTCAAATTCAATTTTGACTCTCAGAAGACTGATGATTGAAAACTTCCTGAAATTTGGGCATAAAAATTATCAATATTTAACAGCCAGGAGAATTTTCTCCAGTAAACAAAGAAGCGATCTTGCTTTTTGCAGCTTCTATTTGTCAGCAGATGACTCTAAAATAGCTCTCAACTTTTAAAAGAAGGATTCCTAGTCATGTTATGTTTCATTAAACTTTTTTACTTCACTCTGAACTATTCCCTGAATCCTTTTCTTCCCACTACAACTCCTTGTCTGATCTGTATTTTTAATTCAGCTAAATATTTTTAAAGTACTGACAACGATTATATCAAAGAGCCCATAGCAAAGTGAATGGTTTTACTTTTACGGTGTTGACATGCCAGAGCGGAACACATCCACTTATTGTTTTACATGCATGCTTTCAGAAACTGCTTAGGAAAAGCAAATATTCCTTAGCCTCAGAGTAAATTGTTTCTCTTGAGAATAAAACATAAGAATTTACTAAATCTCACACGAATATTGCAACACTGACCACCAACCTCCTTAAAGAGTATAACCAAACAACTGTGGTTTCTACATTAAAGATGGGATCGAACATATTTCATGTATGACATGAAAGCTAGACTACCTTCACCACAAAGTCACGGAAAACGCTGACAACCAGAATTTATGACCTCCCTCAGCATGGCTAATGCACAGCAGCAGCTTCGGCCCCTCTAAGGTGGGCCTCCTTTTCCTTAAGCAAGAATCTTGAAGAAGTATTAGAAATTTGACATCTACCCCAGAAATTGACTTTCTGTTTGGCCGATACTTATGTGCCCTTGTTGATGGTCTTTTTTATACATGCTGAATATTTCTATAATGCAGATGTACTTTTACACACTGAAGAAGGGAAGCTGACTATAGGGAAATCTAAAAACATACCACGTGATTGTCTTGATTTTCAAAGATTATCGTGCAAGGATGATAATCACCATTCAAGTACATGTCTGCTCTTAGACAAATGCAAGAATTGCCTTACCCTCGCTTTCATATGCATTTTAATTTTATTGGTAATTGTAGTGGAAAGCCGGATGAGATGCTCGTGCCTGTCAAAGCAGAGCAGGCGGCACTATCCATAGGCGTTCAGAACTCTCGGGAGGAAAAGGATTCATTTCTAGAGTTTCTTCATCTATATCTAATGAACTCCTCTCCCTACACATTTGTAAAGCTCATTTTTCCTTATATGCTGTTTCCTGCTCTTATGTATTATTTAATTTTCTAATACTTTTAGAATTGGTACTGGCAAAATTTATCCTAGTTCTCTGGGCTGAATGTGAAAATGCCTCAGATATTCCCACTCTCGCTTCTAAGAGGGAGGGTTGGCCAAGTTGATTAACCTGAAAAAAAAAAAAAAAAACTGAAACAAAACAAAACAAAACAAAACCAAAATCCCTGTGAGGGACCACAGTCTGTGATTATTGGCTCTAGCAGGTAAGCTGACTGGCTCCACTCTGGTGTCTGTTAAGAGAAAGAAAGGCAAGCAAGAGGCTTGAAGTAGGCAAGAGGTTGAATATAAGACCTCTGAGGTGTCTTCCAGATTCTGGAAGTGGTGGGTTCCACATGCAGGGGTAAGTCCTTTCTCCTTACAATTTCCTCTAAAATCTGAGGAAAGACACGATAAGTCTCTCAAGTCTTTGTAATAACTGGTTTAATCTAGCTGTAATACTAAGAAAGATCATATTATTCCTGACTTCTATGAAGTGGTTCAGGAGCAGAGTAATGGTGGGGAGGCAAGCAGATGGAAACAGTGTTAAGATGTGTGAGACAGGTAAGTAATTTCTGGATAATCTGCGTCTTGAGGAAAAATATTTCCAACTCCTGTTATAGTGCTTTCATCCCAGCTCTCCATAGACTATTATTGCTCATGAAAACACGATCTTAACAAATGAGGCCAAAAGAATGGCTAGTCGGACATTATGTTAAGTGAAATAAGCCAATCACAAAAGGAAAAATACTGTGTAATTCCACTTAGACGAGGTAACTAGAGTAGTTAAAGTCACAGAGACAGAAAGCAGATGGTGGTTGCCAGGAGTTGGGGAAGGGGAGAATGTGGGAGTTATGGTTTAATGAGTACAGAGTTACCTTTGGAGAAGACTAAAAGAAGATGGTGGTGATGGTTGCAGGGCAATGTGGAATGTACTTAATGATGATGATGATGATGATGATGATGATGATAATAATAATAATAATAATAATAATAATAATAATAAAAATAGCTAGTCAAAGAAAGAATTGGACCCAAGTCAGAGCTGCTTACCTTTTCTGTGCATTCTCCAAGTGACTTTCTTCCATTTTATGCTCTTTTTTGGCTGTGAAAGAAAAATAATTATGATTAAAATAGTATTTTCTTTCATCATATGCTTTGTATAATCTTCTAACTTCAATGATACGAATTCATTATCAAACTAAGTCCAAATTCGGGAGTTGGCAGTCCCTACCATTACATCCTAGAGATGGCACTCAATTCGCTACATCTACCACCACTGCTTAGCAGTTATTGATAACGGCTACAGCTGATGGGGGTCAAATAATTTATGTTCTCACTGGGACACTCTTGAGGGTGAAAGGGGATGACATTAATAATTACACATGGAAAAAGGCATAAATCGAAACAGTCCTGTCCAGGTTGGTACATGTGGTCTCCCTGGCTATGGCTGGCCTCTTTGTGAGCCTTGGCATGTGCTCAGCACTAACCCCCTTCCCCCAAACATAATAAACCCAGTACTATTTGCAGCAGATCTGCTCAGATTCAGAGGAATTCATCAGAATCCTTGCACACACTGTGTCTATACCCATGGGCCCCTTTGGCAATCTGGGGAAGTCTGTGGTCTTCTTTCTCAAAATATGGTTTTGAATGCATTGAAAAAACATTTAAGACTACTAAGAAAGTCAGTGTTACTGAGATACAATTCTGAATTCACAGATTAGGAACCTGCACTCTGTTGAACAACTCAATTAGGAAGTTTCATTTTAAGGTGATTCTTTTACAGATTCTTCTTTCTAATCAGAAGATAATATTGTTGTAAATGATAATACCATTCTTATACTTTAAAAAATGTCTAGAAAATGGCAAGTCATAATCTCTTTGAGCCTTAAGACTCCTTTCATCTAAGGCTACAATGACATAAAATGAATGGGAAAAGAAAATCAATCATATCTAGGGCCTATTGTGATATTCCATGAAGGGTATTAGAAGATTTTAAAAGATCACTATTTTATTAAGCCTTGCTCTGCCATATATTACCTGTGTGACTGTGGGCAAATTATTCATGATCAACTGTGTAGTGATTGCTTCATCTGTACTATGAGAATAGCCACAGTGACTGCTATTATACAGCTGTTAGAAAGATTAAGTGAGATAATACATGTAATGTGCTTAGCACGCAATACATGCTCAATAAATGACATGTCAGGTATTATCAGTACCCCATCATCATTAACTTCCTCACTGATTTTAAACGTAAATTTTATCTAGTTACTCCTGTGCTCAAAAACTTGCAACAGCTTGCCGTCACCCTTGACATTACCTCTAAAGTTTTCACAATGTTCCAGAAGTCCCAGCAAATCTGCTCCCTGGCTCCTCTGTGACATTACCTCCTCTCTCCCGCCTGACTGGCCATCCTGCTGATGCTTGAGCACATTGAGCACGTGCACTGGGGTCTTTGCACTCGCCTTTCCTCCTCCTTGGGACGCTCTGCCACAGTCATTGCATGACCAGCTCCTTCACTCCATTGGGTCTCAGCCCAAATATCACCTTTTCTGACCTCAATAAATAAAAGGTCACCCCTTGCCACCTCCCCCACCTCCTCATGTTACTTTTTCCCCCGTAGCCTTTAATTACCTGACAGACCATTTACTCATTTGTTATTATATAATAATTGAATATAAGCTCCCGGAGAGCAGCAACTTCATCTGGCTTGTGTTCTGTTATGCCTTAAACATAGAAAGTGCCTATATTTTAAATATATTATTTTAGCTTAAAAACGTATATACTGAATAAAGATTGCCTAAAAAGAATGATACGAGGCTTCTTAAACATAAAACTTTATATTTAGAATATGATATAGCCTAAAGAAGAGTGTGAGGCTAAAGCTGTATACTATTTTCTCTAAGTCCAATAAATTTCAATTAACAAAAATGATTTCTTTTTATATTAAAATGATTTGGCTTTGATAACTACACCATTTTAGGTCAAGTCATAGTTATGGCCATCTTTTGTGGTATAACACCCGCCCCACCGCCCCACCCACCATCGTCCTAGCAGGAATCTCTTTGAATTAGTCTGGTTCTTAGCCAATCAGATACAGAGAAGTGACCTATGTCTCTTATAGGCTACACCAAGTTCCCCCAAATGTGAAACAAACTAGTGGTTTGTTCTCATCCAGTGATTCTTAATTATGTGCATGGCCAAACAAGAGGAAAATTCTTCTAAGGCCTGAGTGATCTTCCTGGAGCACCTTTGTTGTTTTCTGTCGCCAGATGGTTTCTGACTGGCTGCTTCCATACGGTGTTAAGTAGACTGTGGTCAAGCTGTCATTGTATATAAATTTAGTGACAAGAAATACCATTCCCGAACTAAATTAAGCATTACATAAGATTTTGCAATATCTCTATGAATATGGTTATTTGGGGGAGAAAAACAGCATCCAAATGGAAAAAGAGGCATTATTAAGAGGCAATGTATATAGTACAATCTCCGAGGGTTTGAGGGAAAAGAGTCCTCAGGAAAATGAGAAGATCTAGAGATCTCAATTTTTCCTCAGCGAAAGGCAGCCCTCTCCATGGTGTGACCTGGAAGCTCTACCAGCCATAAATATTTCTCCTGCCATGATGTATGAAATTTCTAACCACGTCATTATACATTTTAAAGTATTCAAAATGCTCCAAGCAAAACAAAAAGACATTACCTAAAAGAAAAATGTTTAAAAACTGGAGTCACATTCTCAAATTCTAATATCAAATAAGGTAATTGCAGGCTAAATCTAAGGATCGTAATATTCTGAAATTTGATCCCTAAATTTTTAGTAGTAGAAGTGACACAGTTTCGGTGTAAGAAAGCCAACAGAGAGTGATAGGGAAATTAGAAGGCCATGCCCCATCTAAGACATTTGCCATTGCTACCAGATCTTTCACTTTTCCCAGAGAAGCTAGGATTTTTAAATAAATGTTTCTAACTTAAAGAAAAAAAGATGTTTCAAATTTTGTCCTATAGGACAAAGAGAACATTCCCATTGGCTATATCTGGCTCTGCAAGCTCTGACTTAAACCTTTAGCATTTATTGACATAACAACATAGGTGGGTTTGTTCCTTTATTCCATGTGCCAGGTCCCATTCTAGGTGCTTGAGATCCCCCAGTGAAGAAAGCAGTCAAAGGTCCCTACAGGACTTTCATTCTAGTTGGGGAAGACAGACAATTAAACCTGAGATAATAAGATCAACTGTGAGTAAGTTTTGATAAAGCATAGCAAAAAAGAAAAAAAAAAAAGTGGAGGGTGGGGAGGAGATAAT